TTTTTCTAGTCATGTAAGATTTGTTAAATTAAAAGAAACTCTTTTGCTACAATGTATCAATGTTATGTTATAAAGACAAATGTAAAACACCACAGTGAACACTATTGAGTTATGGATGCATTTGGGAGGTTTGCTAAGCACTCAAGAGGCTATCGCCTCCCGCGACTCTTACGCTTCTTTCGTGCTTAGCAACCTCCCGCGTGCATCCTTAACTCAATATTGTACGCTGTGGTGTTTACTATTTCTTAAATGACGCTAATAGTGTTACACTATGTTGTATCAATTTTTGTCGAACTTGAGAAGTTTCCCGATGAGGACTTTTTCAAGTTTCGGTAGGTAAATGTAGACCAAAATACATCGTGCTAACGCACGATTCCGTCGGAACATTTTAAAATTCCGTTTTTTTTCATTAATGAGAGATTAACATTTTATCATGATATGGACTATAGTGACCAAAGGGTTGGGGTGATCAGGCAATTCAACGCGATGATTCAATGAGGCGGATTTCCGGGGGACCTTTTAGCTGCAAATTGCTTGTTATAATTCGTGTAAACATACAGCATTAAAATTACATAAATTGATCTCAGTTAAGGACTTACTTAACGGGGGTATAATCTATATCAATTCCTTCATCAACTGGAGTGAGGCTTCTTGACAGAGAAAAGAGTGCTTGATCCCCATCGGCGAGTTGCCTAGCTGACTTGGCTTCTCCATAGAAAAGAACACCATGCTCTGAAGATATCTCTTTTGCTAACTCAGTTTTCATGTGGAGTGGAAAACAGCCAAGAAACAGCGATCCTAGCTCTGGGTCTTGCGTTGGTTGCTCTTCTTTCTGACGCCAGAAAGCGAAAAATCCTAAATGTTGCGGACAGGCGGAGTCCACGATAAAAAGCTCTTCAGCGTCCAGGGGTGTTTTAGAAGAATCAAGTATCACCACACATCTAGCAAGAAACATAGGCACAATTTAATGAATTATGTTACACGAAGACATTTTGAAAATTGGGGAGATGTAAGATAGGTAACTGACTTAATTAACTGTGATTCTGAATATAAAAAAATGCATGTGCATGCCATGGCAACGTATTTTCATTTTATCGTTTGACACTCCTGCAATATGTAATTCACAGTTCACAGATAACTCTTATATGTAGGGGAAAAAGGAGATTGTATACTTACTCCAAGAAGCGATTGATTTGACATGTAGCAGTCCCGTCTACTTCGAATGTCACAATCCCGTTTTCCAGTTTTGGAGGCACCCTCAGCTTCTTTGTCCAGTCAACCCATTTCCATGAATTGTCTTTACCGCCACGGAAAAACACTTTAACGAGCCTTGATGACATTTTCGTTAACTTAATCTGGCGTTGTTGCGAGTCGATGGGTACACTTATCAAGACAGGACAATTCAAACTGACTTGCGAAGGATCACTTAACTCAACTTTAGGAGTGAACTTAATATGAATGACAGGACCAACAAGAACCTTCTTTCCTTTGAAAGCATCACTTGAAACCTCTTGCACCTACGAGAAATCAACTTTAATCCAATGCACAAATCTCAAAAAGTGCGTAATTCCGAAAAATTTAAACTACTGTGAACATTATAAACATTCTGAGACATGCGGTCAAGGACACATTTCCATCATGAACTCATTTGTTTGTTCCCGCCTTTAAGACTCATTAGTAGACTCAACAGTCAAAATTATTAATTTATTTTCAGGATTCTGTCCGAAGAAAGCGAGTCCAAAAGATTTAAAGACGCACTTAGCTCATCTAATTAAGATTTCACATCTTATGGGGGGAAATTAAAAATACACTAACACACGCTGAGCCTGGTAAGTTTCGATTCTGACGTCTCCAGTTCACTTGTATGGCTTTGTAAACGTAGGTTCCCTTGATTTCAGCGAGTGTTTAGTATCATTATTATCGTGATGATTTCTACATGATTAACGCAGGGGTTTCAATAAAGCCAATTACGGGCGGTCTATCGCTATCTAAGACCTCTTACCGCGGTTTTAACTTTACTGCCGGAACTCCAGACGTAGCGCTAGCAATTAGAGCTTTAAGCAAAATCCTTTGCGTTTCCCTTGTCGGCTAAGTATTGCCTCGTCGTTTCAATTGTACGATTTGCTTTTTCCGAATTGGCTTTTCTTCTTGTTAAAGTCAAGGATACTAATGTGGCGGTTTAGGTGTAAAAGTATGATGAAGTGTACAAGTATTTTATGGTAAAGAACAAATCTTAAGTGTGTAGAGTAACGTTTAAAAGCACAAAAAAAAATTAAAATACAAAAAGATGTCAAGAGGAGAGTCTTTAAATTATGTTGAGTGACTTTACCTTAGTGACGAAGTCCATGCTTGCAGGAAAAGATTTTCCAGGAATTGATAAACTAACACCCGAGAAATCTGGCACACTGATTGTTAACTCTAAACACTCCTCAGTATCCACCTTTTGAACTTTGTAAGACTTTAGACGACAAATAACGGCATAGCGAGAAAAACTGGTAATTTTAGCACCAACAAAAGGTAATTCACTGTGCCAATGCAAGCTTTCGCCTTGAAGATCTGAAAAAAAGGTTCAGAAATATACCATTTTCATGCCCTGCTAGCTCAGTCTGTTTGTGATGACAAAATATTGGGTAATCCTTGGTTTCGGGCATAAATTATGTGAGATACATAAAATTAATCTTAAAGTTTATGAGCTACAGGAGGGCAAACAATTAAGGGACACACGCACTGGTATTCAGGTCGGATGGAGGGGTGTGTTAAAGTGACAGTTACAAACCTGATGGTTGCACCTCTGAGGTTTCTAGATCCCTCCATCCTCCTGTACCGATCATCTCCTTCATAACAAGTTCGTAACCTCTCAAGCACTTTGCACTATGAGTTAAGGCTACCTCAATGGAACTGTAAACTACACCGTCTGGATCATCACAGTCGAGTTCTATTACATTGCTCACCAACGATTCGTTAACTTCAAGAGGAGGAGAAACAAACCCAGGCTTCCACAACAAACATGTGACCAGCCTTGGATCTGGTACTGCTTTTGGAGGAAATTTTATGAAAACGCCCGTTTCTTTGAGAATCCAAGTGAAACCTTTCACTGATACCAAGTCTCTATAAGAAAACAAGTGGACTATTCACTACAGCGTTTACTCGTTCGATCGGCTTAAAAGATTTCCTTGAGGTTATAGAAAGCCGGTAAGAGATTCTAATCAAATAGCATTGAGAAGTCGAAATAAAATGGATTTACGGCGAAAGCAAGAAAATTCATTTCGTACCAAGCAATGACCCCAAAAGTCGTTCGTTTCGTCCTCCTATTTGTGACTTGTGCGAGCAAGTAAAAGGTAATGCTCACACCCATATTAACAAAATCACAAGTACCCTTTCATTGTTTTCACCTGGTGTCAGTGACTACATGCCTTCGTTAGCTAGCTAGCTACACGTACGCACGCATTATAAATTGAGTGGTCTGGTTGCTAACTCACGGAACTATGTAACGTAACTTAGAATAGAAAAGCAATAACTACCACAATAAGATATTAAGTAGATCTTTTATTAATTACACGCTATCCAAAAAAAATCACACTTACGCAAAAATTATCCTCTTCTTAATGATATTCGAGTCTTGTGATATAGTTTCTGAAAAAACTTTTGAGCAAATGTACACAAAATAAGTATGTTTAAGTAAAAGCAAAACGTTCTATTCGTGAAATTATATGAACTAAGAACTCATGCGAGATCTTGAGAGGACAAGAAAAACGATCGAGTGAATAGCAAGCTTTTCGGTAAAATGCGTGCTCCTCGCAGTTAAAGAGGATTACCATGCAAGTTGAATAAAGCGTGTCAATTTTAAAATGTCCCGTTTGTCAATTTTTTACTGGTATAACGGATAGGACGATACCCTAGAAAAGAGGCACTTAGCATTTAAAATATATTGTATGGAACGATAAGCTATAAGCTACGAGCAAACTCACAACTATATAAAAAAATTGTATGGGAAAATCTCCTTGCATTCTGGTTTATTTTTAGAAGGGTGGCGGGGGAGTGTTTCGAGGATAGAGAGAAGTATCTATAGTGATTAAGACTTCGATTGTAATTGTTAATCTGTCTCAGTGATGTGTCTGACACATTGAAGACAGGCACCAAGAAAGTGAGTCGGTTGCGAAAGCTTGCGCGAATATGGGAGAGCGTACACGTTAATTTGATAAACACGGGTGCAAAGGACTGAGATATGAAAAAATCAAAAAATATTTCTTCTCACTTTGTGTATAGAAAAATGTCCCAAGGTCTGTTTCTAACGTTGAGATTTAATTACCGAAAACCCACATCGGTGCTATTTACCATGATCTCTGACTATTGGCTCTTTACGAATTGCTTTCCAAAGATTTTCTGGAACGCTTTTTTCTGCAGCAAGCGTCACATCTATTGAAAAAAGTAATTTTGTCGGTTAGGTTGTGTACATTTTTAGATGAGTTCAACGTGGCCTTTAGATACTTAAAACTGAACAGGACTAGAAAACCGTTCTTAGCGAGGAAGAATATGGTCAAGTTTTGCAATGCGATGTAGACAAAGATGCCCCTGCCCTCGAACACTCAGGAAAGACCTACGAAGTTAAATCCCTTTTTAAAATTTTTCTTTTGCGCGGGGGGCATCAAATGCTTTTCAGGGGGAACGGAGGGGGGGATAGTCGTTGCTAGCAGAGTATAAAGAAGGGACTATAGAAAATTGACTGCCAATTAACTGCCAAAGGGGAGGAAGGTTCATAGGAATATTACAGACTTAAGGGGCATCAGGTAAATTACATAGTGACACAAACAAATTCCTCCAATAAACTATTTGTGAAGAATGTTGACATAAGAAGAGGCAGAACCTTTTTCAGTTTATAAGTTTTTTAGCGAAACATTACCTCCTAAACCACCCGTATTGGCAACCCATCATCTAGAAAACTGTCACGTTGAGGAAACCTCGTCATGAAAGGGAACACGGGTGCTTAGACATCCGATGGAAGCTATTGTTCCAGTAACAGATATTATCTTTATCGATAGCAGCTATCATTTTCAATTGATAATTGGTCCACTAAATGGAACAAATTACCAAGAACATTTTTCAAAAATCGTTGTCATTTTTCTTCGTACACACATCAAAGCATTTGAATTGACAATCAAAACCCGCCTCCTGCTCTACGGAAGAAAACCTGAAATTCTTATTGTTTTTCTGGAGAGAGAGAATGTTTAAGTTACAATCTGCTTGTCTTTTTGGGCCTCAAACAGCACCAATAACAGTCTCTAATCCTTTATATAGCACACACACACATATATTTACTGAATGTGGGTTTTTTTTCTTGAGTATAACTCGAGTTGAATGGTGCGGTATTGAGAATCCATCTTGAGGATCTATCTATTTCAAGTTTCCTTTGACAGTTGATGAGGCTTTTTCAACTATTTAACAAATGGTAAACACCACAGCGTACACTATTGAGTTATGGATGCACGCGGGAGGTTGCTAAGCACGAAAGAAGCGTAAGAGTCGCTCGAGGCGATAGCCGAGAGCTACTCTAGCTTCTTGAGTGCTTAGCAAACCTCCCAAGTGCATCCATAACTCAATAGTGTACGCTGTGGTGTTTACCATTTGTT